AATCTGAGGTTTGTTTTTATTTGTATTTCCCTGATGACTAAGGATGTTGAGCATTTCTTTAAGCATTTTTCAGCCATTCGATATTCCTCTTTTGAGAATTTTCTGTTTAGCTCTGTACCCCATTTTTTAGTGTCTTATTTGATATGTTGCTGTTTAACTTGAGTTCTTTATATATTCTGGATATTAGCCCTCTGTCACATAGAGGGCTGGTGAAGATCCTTTCCCAGTCTGTAGGCAGTTGTTTTGTTCTGAGGACAGTGTCCTTTGCTTTTCAGAAGCTTTTCAATTTCATAAGGTCCCATTTATTGATTGTTGCTCTTTTTTTTATTAATTACACTTTATTCATTTTGTATCCCCCCATAAGCCCCTCCCTCCTCCCCTGCCTATCCCACCCTCCCTCCCCTTTCTGCATGCATGCCACTCCCCAAGTCCACTGATAGGGGAGGTTCTCCTCTTCTTTCTGATCTTAGTCTATCAGTTCTCATCAAAAGTGGCTGCATTGTCCTCTACTGTGGCCTGGTAAGGCTGCTCCCCCCTCAGGGGGAAGTGATCAAGGAGCAGGTCAATCAGATTATGTCAGAGGCAGTCCATCTTCCCATTACTATGTAACCCATTTGGACATTGAATGATTGTTGCTCTTAGAGCCTGTGCTGTTGGTGTTCTGTTCAGGAAGTTGTCTCCTGTGCCAATGAGTTCAAGGCTCTTCCACACTTTTTTTTTTTCTAACAGGTTTAGTGTGTCTGGTTTTATATTGAGGTCATCAAGGAAATCATGAAATTTGCAGGTAAGTGGTGGGAACTGGAAAAGATCATCCTGAGTGAGGTATCCCAGAAGCAAAAAGACACACAGGGTATATACTCACTCATAAGTGTATATTAGACATATAATATAGAATACACCTACTAAAATCTGTATACGTAAACTAATCAAGAAGGAGGACAAGGCAAAGAAGATGAAAACATCAGAAGAAGGAGAAAACAGGGAACAGTACAGGAGCCTGTTACAGAGGGCCTCTGAAAGGCTCTACCCTGCAGGGTATCAAAGCAGATGCTGAGACTTATGGCCAACCTTTGGGCAGAGTGCAGGGAATTTCATGAAAGAAGTAGGAAATAAGACCTGGAGAGGTCTCCACAAGGAGAGCAACAGAACCAAAAAAAAAAAAAAAAAAATCTGGGCACAGGTGTCTTTTCTGAGACTGATACTCCAACCAAGGACCATTGATGTAGATAAATTAGAATCCCTGCACAGATGTAGCCCATGGCAGTTTAGTGTCCAAGTGGGTTCCATAGTAATGGGAAGAGGGACTGTCTCTGACATGAACTGATTGGCCTGCTCTTTGATCACCTCCCCCTGAGGGGGGAGCAGCCTTACCAGGCCACAAGGAAAGACAATGCAGCCACTCCTGATGAGACCTGATAGACTAGGATCAGAAGGAAGGAGAGGAGGACCTCCCCTATCAGTGGACTTGGGGAGGGGTGTGTGTGGAGAAGGGGGACGGTGGGTGGGACTGGGAGGGAAAAAGGGAGGGGCCACAGGGGGATACAAAGTGATTAAAGTGTAATTAATTAAAATTAAAACTGGAAAGAAAAAAAGAAAATTAAACTGTGGATTTGGAAACATTTTGTGGTTACAAAAGCTTTGGTTTCAATAAAATGAATAAGAGCTTAACACTACCAAGAGTTTTAACAATTCTTCCAACGCAGAAAAAAATAGTGAAAGAGTCTGAGATATGGCAGAAATATCTTTCTAAGGTGAGCTATTCTCCTGATCTTGAGAGAGAAATTAGAAATAAAACATTTTAATTTAGTAGTCCTTTAAATCTGACTACTGTGAAAGAGAGTCAGGTAGCACATAGTTTATTTAACAATAAAGGCATCCTGTTCAGATCAATAATTAGTTAAAGTATTTTTCTATTTATGCCTTGAGATAATACCCAAATGTAGTAATTTATATATTGTTAAAATTATAAGGCAAGGTGCATGCAATAGGAGGAGAATTATTAAAGAAGTTATTCTATATCTGTCGTGTTTACAGCACAGCTAATGTAAAAAATAAATCTTCAAAATCCATTTCAAAAATATCCACCATGTGAAGTGCACATTTGTTCGATATAAGAAACTTCTGAAAACCACCATTTGTAAGACAAAAAGCTGTATTATGGCAGCTACAGATATGAAAGATCTATTAAAGTGTTAGGGAATAATTGATATGTTCAGTTAAATATAACCATATCATAGTGTAAAATCTTATTCTTAAATTTAGCACATGAACTATGTCAGTATGTCAAGTACTTTAAAAAGTATTTTTACCCTTACATTAAAAAGCGGTATTACCACCATCAAAAATGCTCTGAGGCTGATTTTTCATGCTGGCATTTTGCAGCAGTTTTTTAATGAAGGTCATGTGTGCTCAAAGGCAAACATATTTCACCCTAACTGATCCCTTTTACTGCAATGCATTATGTGATGTTCCTAAAGTCATAATGACTGAGTGTGAACCCCTGATTGTGACATGATTACGTCTCAATCACCCACTGGTACTAATTTGTCTCAGTAAAGATTTGTAATGGTTTTGCAATTAAAACACAGACTCTTGGGCATCCTACTCGTTTTCCTCGAAGGAAGGAAGAATATCTTGCTTTATCAACTTCAGTTCCAAATATAACAATGTAAAGTGTTTTGATGTTTTGACATATACACTCACCTACATCAGCAAACAGCTCTAGCCTTGAATTTTTTCTGCTTGTTCTCTCACTCTTGTGCTACTAACCACACAAGCACATGAGGAGCAGTAGGAAACTCAGCTATTGGACGTCTGCCCTCTCTGGTCCTATCCCCACACCATTTACATGTTGGTACAACTGTCTGAACACACACTGTCTCTAGCCTTTTTCTGTCCTAGCCAAGAACGCTGGACACTTCCATGCGCTGTTATACATACTTGTACCTTTAGGGTAACAGTTAACTTTCTTTCTTCCGCTGACTTTCTCTTGTACAATATCATTTCTTCCTGCTGTATAGCACAGCATCTTAGCAGCTTCCATGCTATCTTCTGAGACATGCTTCTACTTCCCTGCTCATGTGGATGTCACCCTGAATCATGGACAGCCACTGCATACCTTGACAGCCCATTCCTTTCTTTAATTAGTCAGTTAAAAGAAATTTTATGTTTATAAGTCAAATAAATTATCCATGGCTTCCCACAGTTGTCTTTGTATCCTTGCAAAGAAGTCTTTCTTAGCTTTTTTGCATGTGAGTACTATGTCTACAGTAGCGCTTTGCTTAAGCATTAGGGAAGGGCTCTTTGCAAGTGAAACCTCCAGGTTTTGAACCTGGACTTGCCCTCCTCCCACTTCAAAGTCCCAGAAGCATGATATTTATTTCTGGGCAGCGCACATTCGATATACATTTGGTGACTAACCAGTGTCAAAATAGATAACTGTTTTTTATGTATTTATGTAGACTTAAGAAATGATTATAAAATATTTATCTATCAAGTGATTCCATGCATTTAGTTGTTAAAATTAAATCCACAGGATGTATCCCAGGTGTAGAGTCCTTGCACAGTATGTGTAATGTCCTGGGTTTGATCTCTAGTACCATTAAAAAAAATTAAATGCAATCCTCACCTTTTCATCTCCACATACCACAACAAACACCTAAACTGGCCTGCACATCACCATGTTTACATGAGAAAATTATCTTGGCCATTGTTAATTCAAAAGTACAACTGTGATTTTCAAATTGTATATGTGACCTGGCTTTCTATTAGTTTTGCAAAGTTTTGAACATCTCTGAACATCCACTGTATTTTACACTATTTTGATTGTTGCCACAGCATAATTGCATCTCTGGTGGCACAATTTTATCATTTTCGTCTTGCGTAGCCTTTTCTTCTGTGAACTTAGGGTCTTAACAGTTAAGGCTCCTGCACTAGTCTGCAGGAAGCATATTAATACTTCCGGAAGGGTACTTCTGACCTTTCTACAGCTGAGCCTCTGTAACCAAGGGTGACGACAGAGCATTGGGAGAACAAACTGCTTTCCATGTGTCCCAGGCTAGGCAGGGCCATGGCCAATTGCTGTTTGAAACAAACATAGTTTGTATGGTGACAGAATTTCACCTAAATTTCCAGTGTGACAGAATAAATGATGATTTGTGGACTGGCTGCTTAGCGCTTTCAAGTCCTGGTCATGCAGCAGATTAGGGCCCTCAGGTTGGCTGGCTTTGGGAGAGCGGGGTGGAGGAGGCATAGAAGAACTGGGGGGGATGCTCCTCTATAGCCCCCTTTGCTGTATTGTGCTTGTTTTCGGGTCCTGAATCTCCACCCGTGAATTATTATTAGTAGTAGAATAAGTGTTTACTTTTGCTAGGTTTCTTTAAAGCTCACGTTTACGTTTGACCATTAATCATTATGTAATTTCGAAGGCAAAATGCGTGAAGTTTAAAAATAACTGAGTCCTATTATGCCTTAGGTATCTGGATGACAGTCATGCTCTAACACTGAACTGAGTCCCTAACGTTCGTTTTCATGAGTGAAAATGTAATGACCTATTTACTTTAAAGTTTTGCCTTTGGGGACAATTATTCTGGTTAGAGTCACTTAAAGAACAAATAGAATCTGTAAGCATTTAAAAAAGGCATTGTGGGCTTTGAAAATACAATTAATCTAAAGTGTGTTGAAATCCATGCTTTGCTCTCCCTAGGTAGAGATGATGCCCATTGTACTTAAGTACAAAGGTCCTATAGTTTATTATTATTTTTTTATTTTACCCAGTACTTGTGAACAAGGATTTCGTGAGAACTCCATTCTTTTAGAGTTCTGTGGAGTTCGCGTGTTCCTCAGTGTAGAGTTCAACTACAAAGTGTGCTAAACCTTTTCTCCTGGTTACCCCACACTATACTGCCTTCTAAAATACAAATAAGAAAGGAGTGCCGCTGAGCTTCGGATTTAGTGAGAGCAAAGGCAAACTGGGTTTCGGGTGGGGACGGACTGTCTTTCTACAAGTTGGTGTCTGCCCCGGAGCCGCACTTGCGGCAGAAGATCTCCATGTTCTGGGTCAAGAACCCTTCGCCCACCAAGGACACGGAGCACTTTCCGCAGTTGAAGCACTCGCTGTGCCACTGGCGGTCTTGAAAGCAGATGAACTTGGCACCTCTGAGACCTGTAAAGAAATTGAAGGTAAACAGTAATCCATTCTTTCAGTGACCAGATTGAGAAGTTAGCAAATCCTCTAGAAACCACTGAAGACAGTGGTGAGCAAGGCCCTGTAGACTTGAGTAACTCCCACAGGCTGTGGCCTCTGGACTCTTGTCCAACTGAGAATTTCAGCCACATACGATTCCTATCTCAATTCCTCTGAAATCTAAGGAAGTACAAAGAATATGGTTAGGCATTGATTTTTTTTTAAAACCTTTTTGGGGAGGAGGCAGGTGAAAACTGCAAAATAGTTACGAGACTACAGTGTGGTGGGGAGGGGGAGGCCCACAGGATCCGAACATGAATGCATTTTACCCTGCTGTTCTCGCGATCCAATTTTCCTAGCTGCAAACTGAGAACACAATTAAAGGAATGCACTCTGCAAAGTCTGGGCCTTCACGCTTTAGTGACTTTATTTCTCAGTTTTCCATGCTTAATTTTACTTGGAGTAAGTCCTATTTGGAGATGTTTGAGGACAATTTTCCTAAGACTTGAGTCGAGAATTTCTTCTAGACTAGCGTGGACACTAACAGTTTCAGTACCAGCAGCTTCAGCCCAGAGTTCTAATGCCAATGGAGGGATCTCTTAACTCTAGCTGCCTGGTCACCTTATTCAGAGATGATTCTAAGAAGGCCTTCAGCCACTCTCACAACTTTGGCTAAATTAGTTTTTAAACTGCTTGAGCTAAATTAGTTTCTAAAACACTCACTAAAGCATTGACCTTTGTCTTTCTAATATGATTTCAGGATGCACCTCAACAAATTTATGTCCAGTAGCTGTAGAGAAAAAGGAAAGTTCTAGAAGTTGGGAAGTGATTGTAATAGACGGGTGGGATCTATTCATTTCATTAGACAAGTTGTCTCCACATAATATTTCTGTTTTGGATTTATGGTGACTTATCACTTAAGGAGTGATGAATGTATTTTCTGTGGCAATTCACATGTATTACCTAATTCTCTCATGAGAAAATGAAGCACAAAGTATGAATATGAATCGACTTCAGATAAATTTTCTGAAAATGATAAGGGATTTACATTTAATATATTTTTCACTTAAAATGTTTATATAAATGTCTGTTGTGCTCGTGTGTGTATAGGTGACTGAAGATGCTAAACAAGGTCCATTGGAGCTTCATTTACAGGTGTTTGTGAATTAGCAATATGGATGCCGGGACTTGAACTCTGGTCCTCGTGATTGAGCAGCAAGCACTGTTAACAACTGAGCCATCCCTCCATCTATGTAGGAGCTTAGCTCATAAAGAAGTTCAGATCCTGTTAAGTTTCAAGTGGGACAAATGGCTGAGGTGCCCATTTATCAAAACGGACCTGGACTCCGGGTTATCCCAGCATCCCTCAGTCCAGGGTATGGTTTCAGGGTATGGTTGGCATACCCCACTTCTACCCTGAACTTTCTCGTCCAGTGGCTGGGCTGGCCTTCCCCAAGAGACTCTTTTCTATGTAATCCAGGCATTTTGAACCTTTTGCCTCCTGGCTTCTGTACTTGGTTCCCCTCTCTCCTTTTTCTTCTCCTCTCCTTTCCTCTTCTTTCCTCTCCTCTCCTCTCCTTTCTCCTTTCGTCTCCTCTCTTTTCTCTCTCCTCCCCTCTCTCCTCCTCTTTTTTCTCATGTGGCTCAGGGTCATGACCGCTCTGGACTCTCCCAGACATGTCTTCTTCTGGCCATGTCTGTCCCCTCCTCCACACCTAGCAGCAGTTGTGTCCATTCCTTTCCTCCCCTTTTTTTATTCAGATATTATGTTTTCTTTATTAAACATTCAGCTTGGGTATCTATGATAGTGTTATCATTCTTTTATAATAAGAGTGAGCTGGTAATCTACTGTACTGACTCATTTTATGTCTACTTGACATAAGCTTGAGTGGTCAGAGAAGAGGAGGAGAGCCTCAACTGAGAAAATGCCTCCATAATATCCACCTGCAGAAAAACCTGTAAGGCATTTTTTAAATTAGTGAGTTGTGGGCGAGGGCCCAGCCCTTAGAGGCGTGGTGGTCCTATGATCTGCAAGAAAGCAGGCTGAACAAGGCAAGAAGAGCAAGCCAGTAAACAGGCCCTCCATGGCCTCTGCATCAGCAACTGTCTCCAGGTCCCTGTCCTGTGAGTTCCTGACCTGACTCTCTTTGATAATAAACAGTGATATAAAAGATTACGCCAAAATAAATCCTTTCCTCCCCAACTTGCTTTTTTATTATGGTTTTTATTGCAGCAATAGAAACCCCAAGTAAGACATATAACAATTAATTATTTTTTATGCCTTAACTGTAAAAGTAAGGTTCTGTGTTTACATAAATAATCTCTCTCAATAAGACATCATTGAATGTGTAGGACTTTGGTGCCTATGAATTATTCTCAATTTTATTCGCAAGCTGAGCACAAGGCAAATGTAAAAGTAACTATAGAATTTTACAAAGAAAAAAAGATGGAAGCATCTAACAGTAGGATGCTGAAGTCTGACCCAACCCTTGAGGTGTTGATGAATTGTTCTAAATTTGGTTGTGTTTACTTCTTTAGGTCACCAGGGTCATTTGCTACAAGAAAGTCTTTTAGGAGACTGATCTGCTGCTGGATGTGGTAGTGCATGTCTTTAACATCAGGACTTTTGAGGCAGAGGCAGGCAGATCTATGTGAGCCCAAGGCCAGCCTAGTCTACTTATTTGGTTTCCAGGGTAGCCAGGGTTACATACTGAGATCCTGTCTAAAAAAGAAAGAAAAAAAGAAAGAAAAAAAAAAAAGAAAGAAAAAAGTGTGTGTGGGGGCAAGGAGGGAAGCAGGAAGGAATCATTGACACCTATTTCATCTGGCTTCATCTGTACCTGATAAACCAATAAAATACAATGCAGCAATCATTGAGTCCTGGAGCCTGCCACTCTCCAGTCTTATCCCCAACATGTGTATTTAGCCCTTGTTTAACCTTCATAGAGTAGCCATTACCATCATCTTCAATCTGTAGAGAAACACTGAGCAACAGTGAAGTTCAGCCACTTACGGTCGCCGCTGGTGAGATTTGACGCAAACTCTGCAGTCTGGCTTTACAAGCCATTAACCTCACTAAATCCACTTTATCCTTGTGGAGAGCCTAAATGGGAACGTTAATGCTTCTTCCTGTAGAAACTTAGCACTTGAAACTCCATTTTCTCTAAATTAAATGAAGGGAAGCTAATATTCTGTCCTTTCCCACTCATTTTGTAGATAAGGCAAGTGCGGGCCTCAAGGGGGCATTGTTTCCCGATCATCGCACAGTAGCCAGCAACACAGGCAAAAACAAGGGCTATTAATGCCAAGTTCAGAGAACTTTTATTATATCAAGTTGCTTCCTCTAACTTAGATAGTTCAAGGGTAGTGAACAGCTTTTTTTTTTTCAGTTTTTATTTTGTTACATCCTAAGCATGCTCCCTCCCTCCTCTTCTCCCAGTCCCCCTTCCCCTCCTTCCTCCTTACCATCTCCCCTTTCTCCTCTTTTAAACTATCTTCCCGTCTTCCTCCCCTCTCCCTGTATCAACCCTCCCCAGCTCATTAAGTCACATCAGGACTGAGCATATCTACATCCCCTGAGGCCAGGCCAGGCAGCACTGCCAGGGAGAGGCGATCCAACCTGAGACCACCCCAGGGTAGAGAGCCAGCCTCTGACACTATTAATGATGCTCTGCTATGCTTGCAAATAGGAGTCTAACTTGGATGTCATCTGGGAGGCTACAGGCAGCAGTGGATCAAGAAAGATGCTGGGACTTACCAGCAAGCATGGGGCTGAGCTCTGGGGGTCCTATGGAAGTGTTGGGGGAAAGATGGAAGAACCTGGAAGGGTCAGGAACCTCACAAGAGGACAAACAGAGACAACTAACCCAGTCTCATGGGGGTTTACAGGGACTGAGGCATCAACTAAGGAGCACACAGGGTCTGGAGCTAGGCCCCCTGTACATAAGTGGCTGATGAGCTGCTTGGTGTTCATAGATTGCCTGGCAAGTAGAGGAGGGTGAGGGCTCTTTCTAAAATGGACTCTATTGCCTACTTTTTAGTGAACATCTTAAAGAGGAAAGATCATTGTAGTTATACATTTTTAGAAAAAATTAATATTAATTACAGTTTATTCACTTGTATCCCAGCTGTATCCCCCTCCCTCATTCCCTTCCCAACCTCCCTCCCTATTCTCCTCCCATGACCCTCTCCAAGTCCACTGATAGGGGAGGTCCTCCTCCCCTTCCATCTGACCCTAGCCTATCAGGACTGGCTGCATTGTCTTCCTCTGTGGCCTGGTAAGGCTGCTCCCCCCTCAGGGGAGGTGATCAAAGAGCCAGCCACTGAGTTCATGTCAGAGACAGTTCCTGTTCCCATTACTAGGGAACCCAGTTGGACACTGAGCTGCCATGGGCTACATATGAGCACAGGTTCTAGGTTATCTCCATGCATGGTCCTTGGTTGGAGTATCAGTCTCAGAAAAGACCCCTGGGCCTAGATTACTTGGTTATGTTGTTCTCCTTATGTAGCTCCTGTCCCCTCAGGTCTTACTATCTTCCTCTTCTTTCATAAGATTCCCTGCACTCTGCCCAAAGTTTGACTATGAGCCTCAGCATCTGCTTTGATACCTTGCCAGGTAGAGTCTTTCAGAGGCCCTCTGTGGTAGGCTCCTATCCTGTTCCCTGTTTTCTCCCTCTTCCAATGTCCATCCTGTTTGCCTTTCTGAGTAAGGATTGATCATCTTACCCAGGGTCTGCCTTCTTGCTTAGCTTCTTTAGGTGTACTGATTTTAGTATGTTTATGCTATATTATACGTCTAATATCCACTTACAAGTGAGTATATGCCATGTGTGTCTTTCTGCTTCTGAGATACCTCACTCAGGATGATCTTTTCTAGTTCCCACCATTTGCCTGCAAATTTCATGATTTCCTTGCTTTTAATTGCTGAGTAGTATTCCATTGTGTAAATGTACCATAATTTCTGTATCTGTTCTTCCATTGAGGGACATGTAGTTATACATTCTAATTTTTATCATTATATTCACAAATATGTATGGCTTTCAGCACTCACTAAAGGAACTTCTCTTTATAGCAAAGGGAAACCATTACAGAGAGCCATAACTGGACAAAATGCATTTATCAGTGGATGGTATGAGCCTAGTTCCAAACAGTTACAACGACAACAGAACTCTTGCACTTAAAATGTCTAGCAGGGAATATCTTTGAAGAGGGGATGAACTGTGAAGTGTGTGAGATTGTGTCTCCTGGAGAAAGCTGCATTAACAAGATTTGAATAATGTCACTATAGATTCAGAAGGTGAAAATCTATCTCATGGGTTCCAAACCCTAGACAAACCACCCCCCCCCCCCCCCCCCCCCCACAGTAACTAGTGGCGTAGGAAGAGTTAGCCTCTCCCAGGGATCACCACTGTAATTGGTTGTCCACTGCAAAGATGTCATCCCTGAAAACATGTACAGAAACACAGAAACGGACTCAATAGGTTGGACTTATATATATTTGTGTTTGTGTGTGCAACAATAATCAAAGGAAAAGTGGCTACCAAATTGAGCATAAGGAGGGAAAATGGGAGTTTGAAAGGGGAGATGGGAAGGGATGAAGGGACGACTGTGAAGGGAAGAAGTGATGTAATTATATTTTAATTAAAAAACAAAAAAGATAAAAATAGTTATAATTTATAACTATTATAAATTATATAATAGTTAAATAGTTATAATAGTTAAAATGTTAATATCTGTAATTGGTTCAAAGGAAGCCGATTCATTGTGATAACATCAGTAAATCACATGCAACTCACCTTTACGTAGATTTTAGTTAAATGTAGGTTATTGTAAAAAAGCACCCTAACATAAATAGCTTCTTTTAAAATTAATGTTGAAGGAGCCAAGGATGTCAAGGACACCACAAGAAAACTTACAAATCAATGAACCTGGGCCCATAGGGGACACAGAGACTGAACCATCAACAAAAGAGCATGCATGGGATGGACATAGGTCACCTACACATATGTAATAGACATGCAGCTTATTCTCATGAGTGTCCTGGTCCCTTAGCTACTGGAGCAGGGCTGTCTCTGACTCCGTTGCCTGCCTTTGGATCCGTTTCCCCTACCTGGGCTGGCTTGACTGGCCTCAACTCTACTGCAACTTGATGTGCCAAGGGGGAGCTGATATCCATGGGAGGCCTCCCCTTCTCTGAGGAGAAAGGAAGGGGTCAGGAGAAGGTGAGGGAAGGTGAGAGGGAGAGACCGAGAGGAGAGGAAGGAGGGAAGCTTTGATTGGGAAGTAGAGTAAGTGAATAAACAAATTAATGGAAAATCCTCTAAAAACAGAAATATTAGAATGAGCTCAAAGTTTTTTCAGGCATTTGTCTTAAGACAATCCTTGGAAATTCTTTTAGGTTGACTCTTCTTACTTAAATACTATCACATTTCGACTATTTTTCAGTCTGGTCTTTTGTTTATGTTTTTGTGTATAATAAAACAAAATGTGTTGGCTTTTTGTCTATACAGAATGAAGCCTGATGAAGTTGGCTGATGGAACATTCACCGGAAATACCACTTAGGTGCCGGTGTCTGTCACGGATCAGACTTGAACCCATCAAGTTCAGGGCTTTTGTAGGCTCTGTGAGATCACCATTAACTGTTCGACTTCTCACAGAGCTGTAAAAATATTTTGAATTATTTAACATCACAATTTTCTCATCACAGGGCCTTTTTCTCCCAGTTTAGTTGAAATTAGAGCAGGCTGTGATGGGAGGCTTTCCCAAGGAGACTCTGGAGGCCTGGTGCTTTTGAACCAGGAGATCCCATGGTCTAACGAACAGTGTTGGGGCTGGTAGCTGGCTCCCTCGGCAGGAGCTGCCAGATGAGTAGAAGGCAGGAGAGCCAAGTGGTTAGGAACACATGCTCAGAAGTCCAGTAGCGTGGAACTGTTACTGTGAGACCTTGTAAGAGCTGAACAGCAGAGGGAGAGTATGGGGAACCTATTTCTGTAGCAGGCAGCCACTCAGCAGCTCAGGAGGCTGACTAGGGAATGAGAAGGCAGCCTGTCTGTGGCGAGCTTTTAATTTGCTTCTACTTGCAACAATGCATTTTATATGAGTTCCCTCCTCAACCCTGCCAATTTAAATATTGGCCAAGTAAAACCTGTCTGCTAGCCAAACACTTCCACGGACCAGTGTGAGCTGGAACACATGGTGCTTCTATCTGGACAGACAGGATTGTGCTTAACCTGGAGATGGCTTTCTCCCTTTACAAGTGGGTGGAAAGACTGCAGGTTTGGCTTAGCAGAGGAAATATTTTCCTTAATTTGAAAATACACATAGATTCAACAGACACACACACACACACACACACACACACACACACACACACACACACA